ACTTTGTCCAATTAATCCGGCAATTTTTCATGTTAGATGTGCATGCCATATTTTTAACTTGGTTGTAAAAGATGGTATTAATTTATTTTCTGATGCTTGTAGTAAAGTACAATATGCTTGCGGCTATATTTTTCGTGCTAATAAAGCGAGTAGAATTCGTGAATTTGCTCAACAATGCGCTAGTGCTAACTTTCCATATAGAAAAGTTCCAAAAGATGTTTGTACTAGGTGGAATTCTACTTATGAAATGTTTAAAGTTGCTTATGATTATCGGGTGCCTATACAAAAGGTATTTAATATGCATAATGGTATCCCCGCTGATCAAATTGTTGATTCTGATTGGGATCAGATCAAAGAGCTTACTAAATTTTTAGAAAAATTTTATTATGCTACAAAATAATTTTCTAGTATATATTATCCTACTATTACACAAATATTATGGTATATTTGTGAAATTTCTGTTGTATTTGGTAAGTATAAAACTAATCCAACTTATGCACCGTCCATTAATGAAATGATTACAAAATTTAAAAAGTATTTTTTTCCCTATTTTCCAAGTTTATTTAATTTCTACTATACTTAACCCATCTTTAAAATTAAGAGGTGCAAATGGACTTGTTCGTAAAATTTATGAGAATTTAGCAATTCAAGAAAATAAAAAACCATCTCTCGAAGAATGCCAAGCTAACATATATTCTTATGTTAGATCAATGTTTGATAAATATAAATCTATGGAAACAACAGGTGGTGAAACTGCTCCTTCTACTTCTAAGTCTAGAGTAGAAGTTCTATGGGAAGATATGGATGATATAATAGGTTTTGATTCCTCTATTGATGATGAACTTGATTCTTATCTTAATCAAGAATTGGAAAGTATTAAAGACAAAGAAGGCAACGAATAACTTTTGGCATGGTGGAGGGAGCGTGGCAAGGTTTTTCCAACACTTTCAATAATGGCCCGAGATATCCTTGCTATTCAAGCATCATCAGTAGCATCGGAGAGTGCTTTTAGCATGGCAAGATTTCAAATCGGAGATCATAGACATTCATTAGCGGAGGACAGCCTAGAGATTTTCGTATTATCCAGAGATTGGATTAATTCAGAAAGAAGAAATTTTGGTTTTGAAAAATTAACCACTAGGGAAGAAGAAGAATACAATGAGATACTTAGCACTGGGAGCGATGGCGGCATGGAACTCATGGAACATCAATCAACATTGCCAATTTCAGAACAATATCCGAGAGAAATTATAGATAAGTTACAACGAAGTTATATAGGAGCTTACAAATATTAGTATGATAATTTGTAATTGGCTACTAAGAGGCCTAGTTCAAACAGAACCCTTCCTAGAAGGTGGTTGCGTAGATTAGGTGCTCTTCAAAAAAATTATATTTGTATGTGAGATTTGAAAGTTCTATTAATAAAATAAAAGGCTCTAAGCATTGAATTTATTTTATGAATTCTCTTACACTCTTACTTAGTTACTTAATGGATTGAAATTATATTAAATAAATTATAACTCTATTATATATTTATAATTGCTAGAATATTTTATTACAAGTCTTTTGTTTTAATATTTTATAATTCTTTACTTAGTTTTCTAATTTTTCTTTAATTTTTAAGTTTATTAAATAAGTCAAAAAACTAGATGTTGCAAACTTTAAAAACTTAGTCATTGTCAAAAGAATATCCGTTGCCAAACTCAATGCTTAAATATATATTTTTTTAAATGACACTTAAGGCCCGCGAACCCGTCCCGTCCCGTCCCATCCCATCCCGTTTGTTAGCAGGACGGGATGGGCCTACCGTCCGTTCCGTCCCGTCCCGTCCCATCCCGTTTGTTAGCGGGACGGGATGGGCCTACCGTTTCGTCCCGTTTGTCCCTTCCTATTNACTAAATGTCGTCCCGTCCCGTCCCGTTAATTTTGTCCCGTCCCGTTGGACAGCCATAATCTATGCCACCCACTAGAATAGTAGAGGAGGTGCGTGCAAGCTTACAAGAATATACTTTTGTCTTAAAAAATGCAGATGGTATGGCAGGAATGAGCTTTCACTTTTGTGATGGTCAGTTTTACTTGCCCTGCAATAGTTAAGGACTCAATTTCCTGATGGTCCAAGACCCCTAATTAATTAGACAACCACTAATGCTTGTATTAAGATAGACTATCTATGTCACACCCCTTGGGGTGCGGCCCTTCCCCCAATCCTGTGTGAATGCGGGGCATTGTACATCGGACTGCCCTTTTTTCTTTTACTAGCAAAGAACACATGTTAAAGGAAAAAAAATAATCAAGTCTAAACCTTGAATGCACCTCTGCTAGAAAAGAACACTGAGTAAGTTAAAAAAAAACNTCAAAAATTGAATATGAAAACTGAATCTGTTCAAATTGAAGGTGGAAACACGAATTGTATATTTGTGCTGCGATAGAATTAAGCAATCATATTTTACTTGTGGTTCCTTTGTAGGAGATCAATCTTAGCCTTGAGTTTAGCATATTCCAGACTCCAATTTTCCTGCACCTGTATTATACAAATACCAAAACATCAACTTGAAGATGAAGATAGGACATTATTCGCTAGGGAAATGGGTCAGATTTACCCCTCTACCCCATTGTACGTTAACCCTTCAGGCATGGCCAACAACATCCTGTGTGGCATGACATTTGAGTGAGATGAACGCCATGTGGCATGTCACGCGGGGTAATTTTAGCAACTTTATGTGACAGTAGGAGTTTTTTTGTTTGGAAAGTTTAATAGAGGTTAAATATAAACTATTTTTGAAAGTAGATGGGTAAATTTGATCCTTTTCCCTTAATACTATATGCCTTGTATTTATTTTAAACACTTTTTTAGGTCATACCGAAGATTCAGAATTACTTGAAAGCAAGCGTCTCTCTGCGTATGAGTATCTCTCATATCGTTCAAGAATCTGTTCCATACTGTTTCAAGAAAAAATGATCATTAGTTTTTCTGTGTTAAAGTAAAACTCTTCCCAATAACAATTATGAGTGGGTGATTGTGATGTTAAATGTAAAAGAACTTATAATGCACCAAGAATTCCGCATAATATTAAAAGGTTAACATGCAATAAGAACAAAAATAATAATGAATGGACGAAAATAAACATATGTAGTGAATTTATCAAATACAAGATACTATAGACTTTTTAGAAGGTTTTGTTAAAATAAGCCTTAGGTCTAACTCACACCCCAAAAACTAGCTCGAAAGGAGGAGGGTTCTGCTGTCTGGTCCGAAACGTGTACAATCGTGGATAAGGGGGTATTTCAACCCCCTCCCCCTTGATTGGTCTGGGGGGAGCCAGATGATACAGTGCTAAAATAAGCCTTGGGCCTAACTCACGCCCCAAACGCTAGCTCGAAGGGAGGAGTGCTCAAGCCTTATAAGAAGACCAGGAATCTCATCCCGGTCCGACGTGGGATTCATTCAATTCATTAGATATGACTTGCCCCAAAGCATATATTAGAAAGAATAAAGCTAATCATTGAATTAGTTTTCTGATGGAGTATTATTTTCCCAAAAAAGGTATAAAATAAATCATAAGTATAATTGAAACATATGATAATAAAGTTAGTTATTTTCCTTACTGTCGTTTACACCAATTAGTAGGAGGAATATACACATAGTCAATCTTAATTTAACAAACACAAGACATATAACTCAAAAGTTTTCACTCCACAAGACATATAATCAAAGATACGTAACTCAAAATTTTCATGAAACATCATCTCGAGACTACTAAATATTAATCAACAGTGTGTTAACTTTTACTGAGGACTAATGCCTCATTAATTTCTCACTTCTTTATTTGGTTAAACTCCTATAAATCTTCATTTTTATCAAATAGGAGATGCAAAAATGTCCTAACACCAGAAAGAGAATAATTCTCACTTTTCTGGAAGAAGGTAAGTAAAATTATACTCTCTCCGGTCCACAATAAGTAATTTTTTGATTGTTTTTACACAGATTAAGAAATTCATCTTTTAACATTAATTAGCAATGAAATTGACCATATTAACCTTTACTATCTCTTTATATATACACTCGTAACACATACTCCAACACTATTTAGTCCAAGGACAATATAGGAAAAAGATAATTAATCCATTCTTGAAATCCGAAAAAATTAAATATTTTGAATCACAAAAAGGCTAAAAAATTACTTATTGTGGATGTGATGGAGTACTATTCTTACTTTTCTGTTATAAAGCAAAACTGGTCCTTAATGATTGAGAGCAGGTTTAAATAGTCCCTTAGATATATTATTCCCCTTTGAGCAGTTTGATTATGTGATGACCCAAAAGGTCGTCTTATGTTTTAGAACTCGAATCTACGCTCTTAAGCCTTAAAAATCTCACTTTTATCCTCCTCGATTTGCGTGCGGAGTCCGGGCAGGTTTTCGGAAAGCTTTTATATTGAAAACTGATGAAAATAAGAATTTTTGCCTTAAAAGTTGATTTTAGTTGACTTCGGTCAACATTTTCGGAGGTCCCTAACTCAAGTTATGAATTTTTGATGAAAATTAAAAGTCTGAAAATGAATTATTTTTAAGAATTGATTGATGTTTGGCATTGTTAGTACCGGGTCCGTATTTTAGTTCCGAATCTCGATTCAGGTTGATTATGATATTTAAGACATGTCTGTGAAATTTGGTGAGAAACGGAGTTGATTTGACATGATTCGGACGTCTAGTTGAGAAAATAGAAATTTTAAAGTATTCTTGAGAATTTCATTTGATTTGGTGCTAAATTTAGAGTTCTAAGTGTTATTTTGGCGATTTGATCGCGCGAGCAGGTCCGTATGATGTTTTTAGACTTGCGTGCATGTTTGGTTTGGAGCCCCGAGGGCTCGGATGCCATTCGGGCGATGCGCGAATTGAGTTCAAACCTCAACAAGGCTGCTGGTGCACCAAATCTGGTGAAGCCCCGCAGATGCGACCCAGGCCTGGACTTCGTTTTTTCGCAGATGCGGACTTTTCTCCGCAGGAGCGGAACCCTGTCCGCAGGTAGCCCTTTATCGCCGAAGCGTACACCCCGTCCGCACATGCGGATGCGTAGGTGCGACCAAAGCACCGCAGGTGCGAAGGTCGCTGGACAATGAGCATTTAATTCGGACTCCAGCCATTTTTTTCTTCTCATTTTCAAAAGGATAGGAGGCCTAGGGCGATTTTTCAAAGACATTTTCTTCTCCAAATCATAGGTAAGTATTCCTTAACTCGTTTCTTTCAATCTTTTACTTCATTTCACTAGAATTCAACCTAGAAATCTAGAGTTTCATGATAGAATTAGGGGTTAGGGTAGAAAATAGGGATTTCGGGAATTTGGGGATTTAGACCTCAATTTGAGGTCGGATTTCAAAACTAATTACATATTCGGGCTCGGGGGTGAATGAGTAAAAGGATTTTGGTCTGAACCTCGGGTTTTGACCAAGTGGGCCCGGGGTCGATTTTTCGACTTTTTGGAGGAAAATTTGGGAAATTTAATTTATGCAATATAATTGATTCCTTTAGCAATATTTGATATTATTGAGTCATTTTTGAATAGATACGAGTGGTTTGGAGGTGAATTCCAAAGGAAAAGCTGTGATTGAGAATTAAGTGGCCTTCGGAGCGAGGTAAGTAATGTGTCTAACCCTGACTTGAGGGAATTAGGAACCTTAGATTATTTGCTAAGTGAAATTCATGTGAGCGGCGTATATGTGAGGTGACGAGTACTTATGCGCCGCCAATTTATCTGTTTTTTCATGTTTCTCTGTTTTTCTGATATTGTCTCATTTCTACGCCAAAATTGCTATGTGTTATACTAGTGTTGTTCAAATTATCGTTCTTATCATGTTTACGGAATTTTCTGGTGATAATTGAGTTTTTATTTCAAAGTTAAGATTGATATTATGGAACCAAATGTTGAAGTAAGGTTTGTACTTGTTATTCTCTCTCCCTGTTGTTATTTATGCATTGCATTATGGTAAGGGAGAGTGTTAATGCACGAAGGGTGTTGCCATGCCGTATTGTGAGTATTAATGCATGAAGAGTGATGCCGTGCCATATTGTGAGTGTTAATGCACGAAGGGTAATGTCGTACCATATTGTGAGTGTTAATGCACGAAGGTCGATGTCGTGCCATATTATGAGTGTTAATGCACGAAGGGTGATGCCGTTCCATGATATGAGAGTAAAAGCACAAAGGGTGATGCCGTACCATTTCTATTAATTTTATGGTGAGATTGAGAGTAAAAGCAAGAAGGGTAATATCGTATATTCTTCTTTACTGTATTCACTATTCCTGTTAATTCATGGTATATTGACTGCTCCGGTAATCATTCTATTGTAGTTCTTTATCTTGTATTCCCCTCAGTGTGTCTCCCTCCCGACATTTCCTGTTTAGTTCTTCATTCCTGTTATTTGCGTATACACTGTTAAATTGTACAGGTTGATTATAGGTGTCTTGCCTTAGCTTCGTTACTATTTCGTCAAGGTTAGGCTCGACACTTACCAATATATGGGGTCGGTTGATACCGGCTCAGGTTGATCGAGATTTGCTATTGGTCCGCTGTCCGGAGACTTAAGGTAGATCTGTCGGCGTTCACAAACCTTGAAGTCCCCGTCTATCTTTTTATGTCCTACTGTTTTCTTTCATTCAGACAGTTGTATTTCTTTCAGACTATTACTTGTAGTAAGTTCTAGAATGCTCGTGAATTGTGACTCCAGATCCGGGTGGTAGTAGTTAATACAGATTTATGATATTCCGCACTTGTTATATTTCATCGTAGTTAATTATTGCTAATTACTTAACGGAAATAAGGAATTGGTAAATGATTCTCTAACGTTGGCTTGCCTAGTAAGTGAAATGTTAGGCGCCATCACAATCCCGTCGGTGAAAAATTTCGGGTCCTGACAGATTATTAAAGTGATTCAGTTGCCTGCCATCTTCATCTGTTATACCTTAACGAACTCCGCGAAAATAGCATAAAATTTGCAACCATGTGTGATGTGACTAATGATAATTGATGACAACTGACAGCGAATGCCTGAAAAAATTTGTTTTACATTTGTAACAAAGTACTCTAACAATTAGTTAAATTATATATCGTTAGTATATTATACATACTTCGTTCGTTTAAAAAAATTATCAATCTTTTTGAAATGGAGAAATAATAATATAGTAAGTAATTTATGATGCCTCATATTTTTTTTTTTTTGGAGCATAAAGCACAAGATTTTTTGGCTTGGGGTTGATACACCATGTTACAAAACATAATTTCAATGTGATAAAATGAAATGCATATGAAAGTCTATCGGAAACAACCTCTTTATCTTCATAAAATAGGGATAAAATCTGCATATATATTATCTTTTTCAAATTTTATAATATAGAAATACACCGAATATATTGTTATCGTAAAACGGAAGGCATAAAAAGTCGTGGCCGAAGGACAGCGACAAAGAAAGTAGTTTGGCATGTTAATTAAGGATTCCACAGATGACAAAGTTCCATGGTACAACCCTCACCATCAATATGAAAAATGTTTCTTGGAAAGTGTTTTTTTTACAGTGGAGTATCTGATCATTAGACCAGATAATTCAATGCGGGTCATTTATTTCCTCTCCTGCTAAAACATTTAGGTATTTTATTTGATAACCGAAAAAATTCCGATGGTTGCTAGGAAAATACGGTTAGAAATTTAATTTCTTTATCTTTCTCTACTTAAATACAGGGTTTTGTGTAAGATAAGGCTCCAACCCTTAACGTGCGCTTGCCAAATCTCTGGAGAATATTTAGATATTTTTGTGATGATCCAAAATGTCATCTTTAAATTTAATAAGTAATTTTATATTTTAAGACTTTGAAAAGCACCATTTATCATTTCTCGACTTGCGTGCGCAGTCCGTACAATTTTTCGAAAAGTTTTTATGTGAAAAATAGATTAAAATGGGAAATAGAGCTTTAAAATTCATGTGAGTTGACCTTAGTCAACATTTTTAGCAAACGGACCCGGATCGGTATTTTGACAGTTCCGGTAACTCCGTATCGTGATTTGGGACTTGGGCGTATGCCCAAAATTTAATTTGGAGGTCCCTAACTCAAGTTATGACCATTTAACAGAACTAGCAATTTAAAGGCTAAATGTTCCAAGTTTGACCACGGGGTTGACTTTTTTATATCGGAGCCGGAATCCGATTCTGGAAATTTGAACAGCTCCGTTATGTCATTTATGATTTGTGTGCCAAATTTGAAGTCATTCCGGATTCATTTAATATGTTTTGGCACGAGATTTGCAATTTAAAAGTTTAAAACTCAAAATTCGAATCGGAGTGTGAATTATAATTTCAGTGTTGTTTGACGTGATTTTAGACCTCGAGTTACTTCGTATTATGTTACGGGACTTGTTGGTATATTCGAGCGGGGTCCCGAGTACCCCGAGAGTGAAACAAATTGAAATTGGAACAACAATTGGACTTAAGCAAAATCTGAAATTTTGAGTTCTGGTGTAATCGCACCTGCGGAATTTTGACCGCAGGTGCGAGCTCGCAGAAGCGAGACTTCTATCGCAGATGCGGTCTTCGCAGGTGCGGCCCTTTTGCGCAGAAGCGGACGTCGCAGGTGCGACATTTTGTCCGCAGGTGCGGAACCTCGCCTCGCAGCCCTACTTCACAAATGCGAGACCGCAGGTGCGAAAATATAGCCCGCAAATGCGAAAATGCTGGGTAGAATACATAAAATCGGGTCTTAGCCATTTTTACTCATTTTTGAGTTTTAAGTCTCAAATTTGGGCAATTTCAAGGGAGATTTTCACGACTTTGAACTGGGTAAGTGTTCTTTATCATATAGTGATTGAATTTCACAAATCCATGTCTATATTCATCATTTATTTCGGATTTAGATGGAAGAAATTGGAATTTTTGTAAAACTTTCCAAAAATGAAAAATTAAGATTTGAAGGTCCATTTGATATCGGAATTGGACAAATTTGGTATGGTTGAACTCGTATCGGAATGGGTGTTTGAATTTCGTGAGTTTTTTTGGGATTTGAGACGTGGGTCCCACTGCTGAATATCTTAATGAATTTCGGATTTTTATCCGAAAAATTTATAAATTCATATGGAATTAATTCCTATGATTCGTATTGAATATATCGAATTGTTTGTGAATAGATTTGAAGCTTTCAGAGGTAAATTTAAAAGGAAAAGCTGTGGTTGAATAATTGATTGGAATTTGCAAAGCGAGGTAAGTGTCGTGGTTAACCTTGACTTGAGGGAATAGAACCCTTAAATTATTTGTTATGTGAATTGCATGTGAACGACGTATAGGCGAGGTGACGAGTGTCTATACGTCGTCAAATTAATTGTTTGCCTGCTTACTTGAAAAATCATAAATTATTTTTTTATCATAAATTAATTACTATAATAATTATTTCTCTCTTATTACTTGTCAAAATATTAATTCTTGAATTCCTGCATTAATTGTTACATGTTATTTGAATTATGTGCCTTAATTGTTATTTGACATTTAGCATATTAAATATTAAACTGCCTATTTACTTCCTGATTTCCATAATAATTTGCTATTTATCATTGTTTGCTTCATAATTAAATCATAATTATTGTATGCTTGTTGTCTTATGATTTTATATTANCTGCATGGCGTTCGCAGTTCTGAAGTCCCCGTCTATTTTACTTTGGTTGTGTATTTATTTTCAAACAGTTTTATTTTATTAAGACCTTTATTTGTATTTATTCTAGAAACTCGTGCACTTGTGACGCCAATTCTGGGATGATATTTAGAAATCGTTGTTTGATGGATTATTTCACTATATTTCAAACTTTGCTTCCGCATTTGTTTCCTTGTTATTAATAAATTTAAAATTATTTTAAAAATGGATAATATTATTCTAATGTTGGCTTGCCTAGCAAGTGAAATGTTAGGCGCCATCACGGTCCGAAGGTGGGAATTTCGGGTCGTGACAGTTGGTATCAGAGCACTAGGTTACATAGGTCTCACGAGTCNGGCGCCATCACGGTCCGAAGGTGGGAATTTCGGGTCGTGACAATTTCCAGTATATTATATATTCTCCAATCAAAAAAAATATACTACTCATTATATTCTTTAATTTGATTATCCTATTGGTCTGGTTTTGTTGGAACCATTCCAGTGTGTTTGGAACTAAGACTAACTTCAGTCTGTCATTTCCTATGAACACACCAAGAAAAAAGAAGAGGCCAAAAAAAAAAAGGTTGCAGCAGTAATATCTAACTTGAACTACATATCGTTAATCATATCAACTAAACCTTAAAAGTCTCGAGAATAACTTAACAAGATACGAGTATTCAATCATTGTTTTGTTCAAGACTAAATCCTTACAAAAATTTAAGAAAGAAATATATAAACTATTTATAAAACACTAATCTTTTTCCTTTTTCATCTGATAAAAACTAAAATGTTATCCCTTCAAAATGAAAAATTAATAGGAGAAAACAATTACACAAACAATAAAAATAAAAAACTTGGGAGCTATAGTTTCACTTACGGGTTCTGCAGAACCACATAAACTTAAAATTCTAGCTCAGTCTCTAAATAAATTAACAAGGGAAATTTTAAAAAAGCTTACCAAGAATCAGAAGAGTACTCAAAGATTTTTCCCTTATGTGAAAAAACAATCAAAGCAACTTCAGCGTCACAAAGCACTGAGATTTCATGTGCTTTCTTCGCTAAACCTCCCCTCCTCTTTGAAAACGTTACTTGCCTGTTAATCTTATTTTCTATACGCCTTAATTGCACTTTCCCTCTCCCCATTCTTCAGAGAAAAAAAACCTGAAAAATAGAAACCCTGAAATTATAGTATTGCTCTCGCAACAAAAAAAACCCTAGTTATAAGAGGAAAGTAACCAACCTTTTTTTTTAAGGAAAAAATAAATAATGGAGTTGGATTGAATAAAGATATATTGGTCTGAGAAAAGGTGTAAGGAGATGAAAAGGGAAAGTAGTATTGAGAAACCAGGTCGTTTTTAAGAATGTGTTGTCGAGTTATGATTGGTTGCAGGTACAACGTAGTATGGTATTCATTGGTATCTGGTGGATATATATATATATGTATATATATATGAGGTCTCTCGCAAATATTTAAGAGTGTCTTTCCGTACAAAATTTTAACTGTACTGCATTTACTGAGCTTATTTTTTTCTGTCTTTTCTCGACACTGTTGACGGCGCTCTTTATTTTTTCAATATATATTTTTTACCTTAAGCGTTTGGTACTCAAAATTTATTGGACGATTAACATATACCTCCTCCATTTCAAATGTGAACTTATTTAAGTAAACACGAATTTTAAGAAATAAAGATGTTTTTTTAAAATTTGAGATTTAAAACATGTCATTACATATGTATGACGATAAAAACTATTAATTAATGGTAAAATTATTTTTCAACCAGAAAAGAAAACATGTCATTACATTGCATAAATTAGAAAGAAAAGAGTGTGAGCACGTAATTTTTGCTCTACTTAAAAGTGCTCTTAGAAAAATCCAAAAATAATATTCTTATTTAGTTTTGGCTTTTATAGAAATTTTAAGGATTTTTCTCTATGTTGTTGTTTGCATTTCATGGCATTTAGGCGCATTTTTCATAATTAGAAATATTTTAAAATCATCAAAAAAATATTTTACCTTTCGTTCATGGTATTTCTAGACTTTAATTGCATTATAAACTTTTAGTGGCGTATAGTTACCTTTTGTAAAATATAAAATCAACAACAAAAAAAGATATACTAATAATAATAATAATAATAATAATAATAATGCATTAGTTGTTTGACTAATCAATTAGTTTAATTCTAATTAGCTTAAATTAGTTTAAATATTAAGCAAGTCATCAAAACAAAACAAGTCCATTTAGATTTAAGTGGCTAATTTTGAAAGATTAAACAAAGAAGAAAAAAGGCCATCCCATTGGGCCTTGTAATTCTTGATAGCCCAATTACCCTACATCCGCCCAAACCCATCTCCAAATCCAGTCCAGCACCCCTCAAGGACCAAACGAGCCCTTTTTGACTCCAGTTGATCCCCACCATTCATCAGCCATAATCCAACGGACCATAACTAACAACCCCTCCCCCATATAACTTTCTGAACCCCTACACATCTGAAATGAGAAGGAACATGAAACCAATGAGAGCATCAAACAGTATCAAGGTGTCAAGTTAGGAGAAAACTAAATTTCAAGTAAGTTTCAATATTTTAAGTTGGGAGATCTTTAGTACTGATACACCACCGTGCTTTTAGCATGGAGTCCGATCTCAGCCCGATCGGCTAAGCCATCTCATCCCGAGACATCCAATCATAATACCACCATGTGCGCGGCATGGTNCGTAAACCACCGGCCGGAAATTGCCTCTGCCGACCGAAGATGTCCAAATACACTCAAATCACCATTTCGCTTCTCCTTTCCCCCTCCTCTATCTCATCCCATCAAGATCGGAACCCCAATTGCTACCCTATCACACCCCCATCAAAACCCTAGCCGCTTCTTAGCCCTTTTCAACTTCTCGTTCGATTCACTGGCTTTAACCGGCCAGAATCGACATCATTTGATAGATCTTATCAAGATCTATTGAGTGATGTCAATTTCGGTGGGTTTTATTGAAGTTCGATGCCGGGCATCGGCCCCAGTTCGACTCGAGGTTTTGAGTAGGTATCGTCCAGTTCTACCTTCTTCTAATTTCTTCCTTCGATTCCCATCACTCCAGTCGTGTGTGTAGGTTAATTTCCTTATTTTCAGCACATTATTGGATATGTTTACTTGTTAGTAGTTTTATTTTTTGTGTGGTAGTGTATCACTCCCATGTTTAGTTTTGAATTGATTGTTAGTTTGATAGGTTTTGAATTTCGATATTGTTTGTTGCGCATGTTTAGTCTTTAAGAGTTTTTGATTTTATTTTTAACATTTTATTTGTTATCTAAATGCTAGCTATTACTTGTTTAATTCAGAAATCATGTTTCATAATTAAGGTAGTTTAGTTTGGGAATGTTAGGGAGTTAATAGAAAGAAATGAAGGAGAGAGTAAAAAATAGGGGCAAAGAGTGTGATTAACATGTTTTTAAAGGGTGTGGTGGGAATTAATTCAGGAAATATATTTCCATAAGCTTTTGGGATTGTGTAGAAAAGGGTCATTTTGCAAAAAAGAAAGAAAGAAGGAAGTATAGTACATTATAAGTATTTGGGGGTGAGAGGGTAAATAATTAAAAGAAGAGGGATGTAAAAGAAGGAAAATAACTGAAAAGGAATCTCTGCATTTTCTATATAACAGACCCATTATGCACTCATCCGGGGACGCCTTCACTGCCAATTCATTCTCATCTAAACTCACTCATACACTCTCTCTCATCTGCACTCATTCACTCTCATTCTCTCACCTTCACACACGGAAAACACATTAGTAGCTAGAACTTCTGGAAATTCAAAAATTCTAGTTATGCAGAAAAACCAAAAGCTCCAAAATAAAAACAAAAGGCTAGGGAAAATCTCAAAGTGATTTCGAGGTTTGTTAGAATAGTTCAGTAATTTCTGGGTTTTCAAGTTGTTGTTGGATTTACAATTGAAGTTGTTGTTGTACTTTTGCTGGTTTGCTGTCCATTTGTAGTTAAATTTCATTATTTCTTCTTTTCAGACCTTTATTTGGTCTTCGATTGCTGTTTAGGTATGTTCAGCTGTCTCTGTTGCTCTTATTTGAATCCTAAATGAAGATTCAATTTGTTTATATGCTAATTCTGTTCAGTTTCACAGATTTGGTAATGTGTAATTATCGATTTGTTTTGATTTACTTTCCTTGTTAAGTTCTGAAACTATTATGCTCCAAATCTTCTTGAACTTATTTTCCTGATGCCATGGATATGTTATAATTGAAAGTTCAAATTGTCCTGTAGCTTGAAATTCGTGCAACATGCTTATTGAATTACACATTTTATTGATTGCTGTCTTCGGTCTTTAACTGTAGGATTCCTTGCCGTAAATTCGTGGTTCCATAAATTATGAGTTGTATATTTACTTTTGGGACTACGAGGCGACACCTCGGGAGATCCTCCTGTTTGTATATTTACTTTTGGGACTACGAGGCGGTACCTCAGGAGATCCCCCTGTTTGCATATTTACTTTTGGGACTATGAGGCGGTACCTCGGGATATTCCCCTGTTTGCATATTTACTTTTGGGACTATGAGGCAGTACCTCGAGAGATCCCCATGTTACATATTTACTTTTCGGACTACGAGGCGGTACCTCAGGAGATCCCCCTCTCGAGCATTTACATTTGGGTTTACGAGGCGATACCTCGGGGGCGTCCCCATTGTTTTCCTCTATTTGATGTGCTGTTACTTTTCTGTAAATTTTTCGTTGCTTATGTCTCAGTCACTTAATTGTATTATTATATTTTCTGCCTCATTTCCTTTTTATTCTAGTAGGGCCCCGACCTGACCTCATTACTACTCTACTGAGGTTAGGCTTGGCACTTACTAGGTACCGTTGTGGTGTACTCATACTACACTTCTGCATATATTTTTGTGTAGATCTAGGTTCTTCCTACCAGACCGGATACCCGTGAGTTGGACTATACGTGGAGACTTCAAGGTATATCTGCCAGCGCCCGCTGACCTCGGAGCCCCCCTCTATCCTTATTTTGTTATTTTCCTTATTCTCTTTAGACTCTGATGTATAGAGACACTTAGTATTTTCTCTTATAAGATTGTGACTTATTTCTACCGAGTTTTGGGAGTTGTAATTATTTAAATCGTAGTTTCTATCTATATATCATGTGTTAAGATTGGAGTTTAATTTTATATTCAGTTTTTTCGCAAATTGTTAGGCTTACCTAGTCGTAGAGACTAGGTGCCACCACGACATCCTATGAAGGGAAAATGTGGTCGTGATAAGTTGGTATCAGAGCTCTAGGTTTATAGGTGTTATGAGTCACAAGGAGGTTTAGTAGGGTCTCGCGGATCGGTACGGAGACGCCTGTACTTATCTTCGAGAGGCTATGGAATTGTTAGGAAAAGTTTTACTTCTTTGATTCCTTATCGTGCGAGATTTTGACTTCGGGCTCTAAATTTCTATTTTTCTATTCTCTCACAGATGGAGAGGACACGCATAACTGGATCGAATGACCAAACACCCACCCCCTTACTAGAGCTGCGAGAGGTTGGGACTGAGATAGAGGCCTAGGACGTCCACGTGGTGTATCCAGAGCACCTGCACGAGCTGCTACAGAGGAGCCACCAGTAGCTTCAGTTGGAGGGCAGGCACCTGAGATGCCTGTTACTGCACCAACCCTCCAGGAGACTCTAGCCTAGTTTCTGAGCATGTTCAACTCCTTGGCTCAAGCAGAATTGATACAACTTGCTCCTGCCACATCTCAGGCCGGGGGAGGAGCACAGACTCCCATCGCCGATACCCCAAAGCACCAGGTTCAGGTTGATCAGGTTCCAGAGATCGTACCGATGCAGCCGGTAGGTCCAAATCAGCCCGAGGGTAGGGCAACAATTTCTGAGGCGGAGCAACTCAGTCTCGAGAGGTACAAGAAGTACCACCCTCCTACTTTTAGTGGCTTGCCGTCAGAGTATGCATAAGGTTTTCTTAAGGAGTGCCACCGTATCCTCCGTACTATGGGTGTTGTAGAGACTAGTGGGGTTTCTTTCACTACGTTCCATCTTAGAGGAGCGCCTTATTAGTGGTGGCGAGCTTACGAGTTGGGTAGTCTGGATGAGGCAGCTTCACTCACTTGGACTCAGTTCTCAGATATGTTCTTGAGGGAGTATATTCTCCAGAGTCTCAGAGATGCATGGCGCGCAGAGTTTGAGCAGTTGCGCCAGGGTTCTATGACTGTGTCAGAGTATGCGGTCTGATTCAGTGATTTTGCCAGGCATGCACCGACGTTGGTTGCTACTGTTCGAGAGCGGGTTTGTCAGTTTATTGAGGGGCTCAACCCCAGTATCAGATTGAGCATGGCCCGAGAGTTGGAGATGGATATTACGTACTAGCAGGTAG